CCCCCCCATCATTTCAAAAAGGCGTCCTTTTGCTATTTTTTCACAGTTTTTTCTTTTTCTTCAAAGCCTCCCAAAGCTCTGTGTTTAATCACATTATGGCATTTGCCGCACAGGCTCGGTTTGGTTGCAGGGCTCAGGTCTAAAAACCCTGGCAATGTGTTTCAGTTTTTTAACAGCAATTTGTACAATTCATGGTTGTGCTGTGAGCGACAGAGTCCCATATCACTCTCAGATTCCTCTCTTCTATCATCAGGCCTGACATTAAAAGATAAGATTTGATCCAGATGGGATTTGATCTTTAACATTAAACTGAGGCCATGGTCCCAGTCCATACAAAATGCCATCAATCACATCTCTAATCTCCCTCTGCACTTTTCACATGGAAGAACTCTGACTGATCGCAGAGAGAAATGTCTCACTGCTTCTCTTTCTTGGGAATAAGTGACATTCATTCATTATTGCCCATTCGAGCAGTCAAAGTACTGCACCTATTCCAACTGTGCCTCATGCAGAAACAATACACTTTTCATAAATGCTTCAAAAATACACTGTTTGAAAGATAGTGCCACATCAGATAACATACTGGAATATAAAAGCTCTATAATGGAAATATTTTTTACCTCTGTTTACATCAGTGTTTATCTCTAAGCAGGAAGAACTGCTCCACTGATTACCATGAAACTGGAAGGATGCAGTATGGGTGAAGAAAGAAGTCATCACATTTTGGTGCACGTGTAGATTATATGTCAGATCCAGGAAATGTCTTGTTTCACTTTCTTTACCATTGTGAGATAAAGCTTTTTTCAACATTTTCCTTGATCTCTCAGAAACTCAATCGCAGATCAGGAGGCATGTTTAGGGGTCTGATATTTATGAGTTGGTGGAATTTGGTGCAGATCTGTATAAAAGTCTGGATCTCTGAATTTAGATGTGGTTTCTTAAAGGAACTGTTGGACCTTGGCAGAGGTTTACTAGGTACCATTAGTTTTCAATTGTAAAACAATTAAAAACACTATTCCACAAAGAAGCCATCGGCTGACTGCTGACACTGCAGACAACTCTTTTGACCACAGATTTGCGTTTTCTGCACCTTTTACGTCATAGAATTCATTACGCAGGTTTATACAGATGGGTAGGCAATCGCTTTGTTTCTTGATGAAAACAATGTGTCAAATTGTCGAATTCTTAAAAAAAAGCAAAGTTGTTTTGTAATTTCAATCACGTTTGCTTCAAAATGTGTTTCAGTATCTCAAAATGTCCCTAAAGTCAAGATGAGGTATATAACCTTAAGCTAAAAAAGCAGAAAGCAAGAAAGAGCTTTGAGATTAGGCTGATCACCATCAGTATATGATGTGCTCAAATCTTCTTGAAAAAAACACGGAGCGATTCCCCTTAACTGACCAGACCGACTAAATCCTAACTAATGATCAGTTTATGGATAACTGCATTCTTAAAGAGATCATCAATTCATCTCAAACGAAGATTAAAGCACGCTCGCGCTCTATAGTATGAGATATAGACATCTAGCAGATGGCAGGTGATTCTGTGGCACCTCTGTTGCAAAATGTTAAGCTCAGATTCAAGCGCCTGACATTCACCGATCTCTAGATTTGGCAGATTTCATTCGACAATGCGTGAAGAAGCTATTGGAAAGCTGTAACCGTGCAGAATACTGAAAATAACAAACGCCTAAAGCACATTCTTCAGAGGTGATGCCCACAAATGTATACATGCTGAACCCCACCACACGCATTCGCTCCACAGCCATGATCAGCCTCCCTCCTTGCTATCCTTTAAGAGGGACAATAATGGCCACTGTCACTGTATTAGTTTTACGACACTGACAGCATGACAGAGCCCATTAATCACTACAGTCTCCGGAGGAACCCCTGTTACATGATGTCCTGCTCCAACGCCAAACAGACCGAATATTTATGGGAACTTCACCAAATCTGAGGAGTAAACAATGGACTGTCGTTCATTCGTTCATTATACAATGACTGGAAACTACAGCCTGATGCATAAGGGCACGTGTATGTGCAGGTTATGGATAAGCAATCCTATACAAACTTATGTCTGGCAAAGTATTGTGCTGTGTATTAATGCATAAGGGACAATGAAACCAAATTGCTGCGATACAGAAAACAAAGCAGCGGCTACATCCAGGATTTACTTTACTTTATATTGATTCATAATTTTAGTTCCCCCGTTTTACATTTGATTGAATTTAAGGGACCATTGGGCTTTGGCAGTGATATTCGCTCTTGTGCTTCTACACTAATTCATAAAATCCATGAACAGTAAAATGGTAAAACCTCACAGTAAAACATTCAGATTGATATTTACATACATACATATCTATCCATGTCTATATAAATATCAAAGTGGAATTTATATAATTGTATTCAAATCAAGATATACGCCCTAACTAATGTACTAATAATTACTGGTAATTAACCGTTAAATCCCTTTCAGACACGCATCCTTTTTACATTAATCTGAAGGCAATTGCTGGTCACATGCCTGAATAATCATTCTGGTCATTTTAACACTCACAATAGAAAACCTTATTAGTCCAGACCGGGTCACATTTCTTTCATCCTCTTGGCTAACTCTGGAATATTTACAGTGTTCTTATGAATACGCACTGTCCCTGAAAAACAAACAATAAATCAATAAGAAATAAATAAAAATAACAATGTAAACAAAAAGCTAAATAATTCACTAAAGCAGCTGAGGCTGAGAGTAAGGTGAGGGACTTTATTTTCAGCTGTGGATGAATACACACTTGGTGAACTAGCATTAATTCCCAGAGGCAGATGCACTGAGTTGAATAAACTACAGCTCATGCTAATAAAGAAAAATGTCAAAGAGTGCAACAGTGCAGCCGACAGTTTTTAATATGGACAACAATGAAGGAATAAGCTGAATGTGGATTTGGATACACAGATAATACTTGTTGGGTGATTTTGGAACAGTAAGAACATTATGAAGCTCACAGCCTGATCCTTTATCATCCTTAATAAAAAGGTGGCGCTCTTGGTCAACTTGGCCTCATCGTCCCTCAACCCTTATGAGTGCAAATAGTTTTTTCAGCTCCTGACGAGGCCGTTTTCTGTGCACGTGAATGTTAAAAAAGCTGAGTTGAGTCATTGAACACTGAGGCCCTCTCTGCGAGGGAGTGCGGAAGTAAAGGATGCGGCAAGGTGAGATTTGTGGGAGGAAGATAAAGAGGGAAACGCTGTGTTCATAAATTATAAAGCAAACAATGATACATGATAACTACCAGCTTCCTCATGCTTCCCATTGAGGTTTTAAATCAATACCACCCTCAAATAGGTACAATTATGGACATTCTCACAGTATCATTTTTATGAGATGGACTGACAGTTTGACAGAGTCCATCAATCAAACAGCGTCTCTGGAGAAATCTGCTAGATACCCATACACACATGCTGCTTCCACCCAAAGACAAATACAGGATGTAACAGCAGAGACACACACACTGGTGCAGATCTGTTATTGTGCTTTACAGTGCAGGAATCTTGTAGTGGAACAACAGTATTAACAATAACATCTGTATACACAAACAAACTAACCCGGTCCATAAAGAGGTCTCGATACATTCTGCAAACACGCTCGCAGAAAATTGTGTAATGCGGCAGAAAAGAAAAAAAAAAAGAAATAGCAAAGTGAGATATGAGGAGAGAAAATGTTCAGGACAAATTCATCTTTCCATAATCCCCTGGTCTCTGTGCTCCCACCCTCCTTTCCAACCTCCAATTACAAAGAGAAGAAATGCCTCGCTTTCTCACTCCTCAGAAATACACAGGCTCTACATCAGAACTCAATTTGGTTTGGTAATGAGACTGCGCTTGTGCATTTCCCCATGCAGACAGCCCAATCTTCAATTGCCAGCACACATGGGGGCTTTGCTTAGGAGGAAGGCTCGGAGGAAATAGACTGGTAAAAGTGTTGCCTTTTTTCATTTGGATGAAACTTAGCGCTCACCTTCTGTAGTCTTTTCAAAATGACCTTGGGATATTTCAGAGGACGAGTGAATTTTAACCAGGGCCTTGATTTCTTTTTTTTTTTTAAAGATCCCAGTGTTGTTTTAAGCTAAGTGAGCAAATATGTGATTCAGGGCTAGTGAAGGCATTCTTGATGCATCCCAGAGGAGCTGAGGTCAATCAAAAATTCCATACATTTTTTAACCTGTCCTGTCAGTCTCTTTACAGACGCTCGCTGCGTACCTGACAATCAAGGTGTGCATGACAGCGTGCTGCGTACATGTTGCCGGACTCGACTCGAGTGCCAGTGCCTTCACTGGATAAGTACAGGGCGGGCTTTGTTTCCTTGCCAACCCTGAACCCAAGTTTGGCGACATGCTGTCTCCAAGGTCAACAATAATGAGGTGTTCTTAATCAAGGCATTTAACCCCCATGTGCTCTCCCTAAAGGGTCATGACTCAGACTAATGGCCTAAAAGCCTGAGAAGTACAATACAAGGCTACATCCACGCTACTACTGTTTCATTTGATAACATCAACTCAGCTACGGATACGCCTGACGTTCACTCTGCTGAAGTTTTACAGAAGCTAAAAGAAGTCTGGAAATGCAGCTGGCCTCGTTTTAGTTTACAAACTCCTGGGCTGCGTTTTGAAATGATGACGTAGACGCTCACAGCCGCTCGGTGATTGACCCACCTCTGTCGTGACGAAGCCTGATTCATGCGGGTCCTATCACAGGATCAACTACAAGCATTGCTGACCCTGTTCTCTTTTGAGTTCTGCTTTATACAATGAGATGAGATGAGCTACTATTCGAGCTATCAGTTTAAACCGGCACACACAATGCCCAGTGTATGTGAGTGGTCACGTGATATGCGTTTTCAGGCACGTAAGTATGGACAGTGTTTGAAACTTCATGTGGGAAAAAAAAGTCTATAATTAAAATATCAAAGAGCTGGATTGGGTTAAAATCAGCTGTTCATTAATGCGGGACAAGAAAATTCGAAACTGAAAAGGAGTGATTTCTAAATCTACTATGTAAACTTGACTGTAAGACCTTTGTAAAATATTGTTTTATTTACAAACCTACTGTGTATAAATGTAGAATAACCTGTTTTGAGTATCCATGCAGAGTGTGGTGATTCTGCTAATGTAGCCAATGTAGCCAACATTATTGAAAATAAGTTCTATCATCTGAAGTGTGATGTGTTATTTAAAGCCTCATTTACATGTGTGTAGAATATGATGCAGATTTGAGAGCTTTGAAATAGTGATGAAAAAGATGGAGATGTTAACGCTCACTGTGATTCCTCACAAATTCCTCATCTTACTCGTGCTGATGTAAATGGAAACCAAAGCGCTGCACAAGACGGTCCGAGATCATTACAAAATGTACAGTGTGATTTTAAAATTGAAGTAGTTTAAGAGTACACAAATATGTAGTTTCCTGCTTGCCCAAATTTTTCAAACTTGTCCCTGAATGCCTCAACGTGCAAAGCCAAACTCCTCCGGATCAGATGAAAGGGAATTAAAGCAACTCTGATTTAGACACAGTTCAAGAGAAATTACTATCAGCCATACTACAGTGTGTGCAAAGAGGATTGGACTCACGTAGTCATCATATGATTCATGTGTGACTGCTAACAGCGGGACCCTGTATGCAGCACTCCCCGCCGCCCCCCTGGCTCTCGGCGCTTGTACCTCCCTCGTTAAACCGGTCGTGGGAAGTTTGCTGTGCGGTGCCGCTGCTGCCGCTGTCCCCCGAGGTGCCGCTGCTGCTGCTGCTGCACTCCTCCCTGTTCCTCTGTGGCCCCTGGTAAACCAAACAAGCACACAAACATGGCATCGGTTTTTACTTCGCAACATGTGTAAATACGCCACTGAGGGGAAAAATAAGTTAAAGGGAAAAAAAACCAATAAGAAATCTATCGAATCCCTCTTATCGCTGCCTCAGTCGGAGGTCGTGGTAACTACTGGCGCTGAGGTTGATCTTGTCATGATCAGAGTGTCACTTTGTGGCTCTCTCTGCTGTGCAACTGTGCTCGAATTTCAATAACACGATGGAGCAGTGCCATGCCTGTGTTTGTATCGCCATCTGCCTCAATTTACTGAATACACTCAGGTTGCAGTCTAACAGTTCCACTGGAGTGTAGAGCTTTATTTAATAGTGTCCACCAGAATGAAATGAATGGCCGAAGGGCTCAGGCAGGCGTGAGGAATTTAAGGTGGTTTGTTAGTTCTGTGGAGGTGTGACTGTCCAGCAGCAGGACCACATGAACAGTGCGGGGATTGCAGGGAGGATTTAGCTGTGCAAAGCCGTCCATTGTCTGCTAAGTTACATTTTAACAGCTGCATGATGTAGGTGGGCTAGGATACCCTTTTCTTCCCTTGGCACATCCGTCACTAGGTAGCAGCTCATTGTGATCCAAAAATACAGACACTCAAAGGGGAATTACTGCTGCATATTTTTCATGGAGATTTACAATAATTGCTTATCGGCGCGCCATAAGGAGTGAAATCAGGGTAGGGAAGTGATGGTGGTGACTTTAAATTGGGAGCATCCAATGTTACTGGTGGATTTGAAGCATCTGCCTGCGCTGCCTGAATTAGGCCGTGCTGCCACGGCAAACTGTACCTGCTCGCTCCTGAGGGACGGCCACGGCTGCAGGTAGATTATGGACAATTTACTCTGTAAGATGAGTTACGGAGGCGTATGGAGGAGGCAGGTGTTTCGGACGCACAGCTTCATGCATGGCTGAGCCAATCAAATGCTCTGTAACATCCAGAGCTCTGTGGCAACAGTCTGAGCACCTGGAGCAAATGCCGTGTTCAAATTGACTTTTACTTGTAGAACAGTGGGGAAACTGTCAGACACATGGTTCTAAAGGGTAGCTCTCCTTGTTCCCTCAATTAGTCATGGAACCATCTCCCATTCAATTTGAAAGCCAGTGGAGTTTGGTACTATGGTCGCCAAAAACAACATTTTCCAAGGAAAAGCTAAACTTCATATATTATGAAGCTGAAGCAAGAAGCTGTGTCTCTTCTGAGGAAATAACCAGTCAGACTTGGAGGCAAGATTATTTTTGGTTGAGAAGCAATCAAGATTAAGTAATTAGGAAATAAGATTGGTAATCAAGATTTTTGATCCACAAGTGGAACTCCTCTTGGCGAGGATGGGTTTGCTGGTTAGTCCTTAAAAAATGTTTTTCTTCATTCTTGTAATATCTAACATTTTCTCTTTAAATTACAACTTTAGTTTCATAATATTATGACTTGTTTTCTCCTGAAATAACAACTTTATTCTTGTTATATTATAACAATATTCTTGGAAAGATTTTCTTTTCTTTCATATGGTCCTAAGACTTAATGGTGGATTCACCGGAAGAGAAAACTTGATTGTGTTTGCAAAGTGATGATCTGTGTGAACGCACACTGTGCATGCACCTCAGTAGGTGCATGTTACTATCTCGGTCGTGCTACATTAAGAAAACAGTGAAATACTATTCGAAACTTAAACAACAACCTAAGGCAGAGAATATAATATGAAATATTGAAATGTCTGACAGTTAATCACTTTATCTGAAAATTCACCATCAACGTTTGTGCTTCCTTGTTTTAATTATTAAAGTTGTCATTCATAACACCTCACACTATGTTTCACTTTATCTATAAATATGTCAAATTACACATCATCTTTAAATCAATAACAAATCTGTGGTAGTCAAAGCTGCTGACTCATTCTGTGTGATTGTGTAGCTGAATTAAAGGGATAGTTCACCACTCTTCTGCTCATAACTCACAACAGTAACCAGGAGATCACATATCAATTGAGTTATGTTTTATATTATCACTGACAAAATAACAAAAAACTAGTTTGGATATTGGATATTTAGATTGGAGAATCAAGTGTTTTGGAATTACTTTGGTCAAATTAATCAAATCCTTGTTGTTCTTGCTTTATTTATTTCATTAAAACAACCCAACATTTTTCAAAGATATCTCTTAAGCCAGAGTCTGTGTTATCACCAACCCCACATGGAATCTGTGCAGAATTCAGACGACACCTCCACAGAGTTATTGCTTGTAAAACTTGGAGAGTCGACACATATCCGCCTCTTCTTCAGTGTTGTTTTAACATTTTAAACAGTGAAATGAGAAATACACTGTTTCATTCCTGTATTCCCGTCCTGTTTGTTTATTGGGTGGCCGTGGCTCAGGAGTTAGAGTGGGCCGCCCTCTAACCAGTGGGTCGGCGGTTCTTGCCCATTCCACATGCTGAACTGAACCCTGTTCACATAGATGCACTGTATGAATGTGTGTGTGAATAGATGAAAAAATTGTACTGTAAAGTGCTTAAAGGGTTCGAAAACACAATATAAATACAGACCATTAACTCGATATGTGAAATATATGTTTCTCTTCCTGTAAAACAATTTTTAATGTGTCATGACTCATGCTGCACTGAGGGACATTTACAAAACTTTATCTAATCAATTGTGACTTCTGGCACGAAGCTCGCCGCACCAGTCATATAACACTACACTTCAATGTGTCAAAAAGGAGATTTACTGCTGAGGAACAGAGGAGGCACTATTTGTCAACACAGGAAACGGTGAGGGATCAGGTGAATTAATTCTCTTTGAATTCAATTTGTCTCTTTCTCTAACAATCTTTTTTTTTTTGCTATCTGGGATAAATATAGGGCATCGTGTTACAAGCAAAAATTATTCAGTGGATTTTTATTCTGGATATAAGCTAAAAACCGAGGGGGGTTTTAAGGTTTGTAATTCTTCTGAGGTATAACAAAATAACCCAGATGATGTTATCACGCTTATCTTGGCTTTGGCTTGAGACTTGGAAACTGGATCAATTCTTATTATTTTGTTTTTTATCTATTCCTGCAATGCCCCCAATGTTTTAAAGTGCAATCCTAAAACCAGTGGAACCCCAATATAGAATCTGTAAGTATATACTGATTTCATACTATGTGCAACAGGATTTGTTGAGATGTTAATCTGATCATGATGAACAACACTTTTTTAATTTTTATTTCGTCACTGTGCCAACATGACTAACAAAGTCTGAGCACAAATTCAGCTTTTAAAAATCCTTAATGCTTTGCAGGAAATCACTTTGTCCCTCTCAGATATTTTATAAAAATAGTAACCTTCAGAATTTCTCAACTTCAAGAGGTCCTTGTCATTGTTTTCCACGAGAACCCTCACCTTCTTTCAGTGCAGCTCTTCACAAAACTGTAACCAGTACTTTACCTTGTGGATATTGCGGTTGCCGGCCGTGCGCTCCTCCCCTGTGCACTCCTCCCTCTGCTCGACTCTTCGGAGCCGTTCAGCAGGGACAGCTCTCTCAGTTGCTCCTGTCTGATCTCGTCGTTATAGTCCTGCGGGAACCAAAAAAAAGGAAACACGTGTCATAAAAAAGGAAAACAAGGACATTTGTCTTCTGACTGCAACAGATGTTTGCAACAGCAGCAAATGTCATCGCATTATAATTGTCGTGACACGCACAGGAAACACATGGCGTCTCTGAGCGCTGAATGCTCAATGAAGATGTTTTCATTGGTTGTGTTTGGACACAAAACACAAGAGAAGGATTAGTAATTTGGGAAAAGACAATAACCTATGAAAGAGCTGCGGATTCACGGCTCGCAGCAAGTTTAAGCTTCTGTTTCTTTTCAACAGAAAAAGATTGAATTTCCAAATTATCATCAGGATGTCCAATATAATCAGGACAAGGATTTCAAAATAATTTCTCTTATTCTTGAGGAGACATAAACTATGAAATCAAATCAAAAACCCTTTCTTCTCCCTTTAAAGCCGCACAAAAATAGTCTTTACTTTGTTGGCACACGCCGTCTGTAATTGACAGTTTGAAAAACGTTGTGAGGAATATCGTTATCTTGTGATTCTGAAGCATTTTTCTCAACCCGTTATCAAATGCTGGATCATTACACAGCAGATAAGGCTGTGGGAAAAGCAGTATTCATTATCTTGTCATTGCTGACAACTAAACAGGCTTATTTATCAGAAACCTTCAAACCAAACACAGGCGATTCACTGCATCGGACAAACAATTTAGTTTCTTTTTTTGTTTTTTGACAACAAAGCGATGGAGGCTGCAAAATAATTCTTTTGGCTGTCAATATTTCTGACGTCCATGTTTTCTAATGTCTTCTTTGATTTTTGACGGCACAACCCAAAACAACTTAACTCACCCGGATTTTTTTTTAAGCTATTTAACACTTTTTCCTTTGGACAGCCAGTTTCCATAAATGTGAAATAAAAGTCGAAAATAATTTCCCCTGGTCCACATTAATCATCGCTCTCACTTTAGTCTTTACAGCCATGGAGTCAATGACGTCTTTGTGTGAGCATTAATCCAGCCAATACATTTACTGCACATTGATCCATGAGATACGACTCTGTCCGGAGTGCACTGATAAGTGAAGGACTAGATAACATTAATGGCTGTGCAAGTAACAGTACAGCTCATATAACATTCTGGAGAATTAGTGTCACCTTTTCTTTTACTTTTTTTACGCCCTCCTTCTCATTGTTCAACCCTCTCACCGCACTCATGACTATGTCACAGCCTTTTCTCTGCTCTGTTTTGACACTTCAAGTAATCAAACACTTTTTATCAGAGAAAAAACAACAGTGAAGCAAGAGACAAACTCTGAAGCTAATTTATTACAAAAATGTGTGAAAAGCAACTTCTCAATTATTATCAAACTCAATTTAGAAACCAAATCTGCAACCAAGCTCTTTGTGTGTTAATTCATCGTTTTCATACAGGATGATTTTCACAATAAATCGACTTTTCAGTGAAGTAAGAGACATCCTAAGTCAAACAGCTTTTTTGAACATTAACACTATGAAGCGAGGCTTTCATGAGTGTGTCCTCTTTTTGTTTCCTCACGTGCACACGGATGTGATTTCACACTTTCATTGATTGACGTGTCAACAAATGCTCTGAGGAAGACGACAGTCAACATGGACGCAAACAAAGCAGGTTTGAAACTTCTAAGAGGAATTGTCTTTGCAGATGTTTAATGAAGAGGGGAATTCGTCCGACAAGCTCGTCAAACCTCGAGGAGGCACACAGTGTGTTGTGGTGAGTAACAATGAATGCAAACACGAAAGCTCCACAAGGCAACTTTAAACAATGCATATGCATAGATTCAGGATTTATCAGTGAGGGAGAAGGAGTGGAAACAATTTGCTTTCTTTCTTCTGGTGAAAAACCAGGCAGGAATTATTCAAAGCCGATGCATTAAGTGAAAAGTATTTTTTAAATGTTTTCATATGAATTATAAAAGTATTTGTATATGTTTTTATATGTATTACATATCTGTTTATATATTGTTAAATGTCTGAAGGAGATCTTGAACATTTTTACTTAGATTTTTGACTAAATGAAACCAAAACGTCACAGTGAACATTTTAATATTCTTCACAGAGCAGAATCTTGCGACAATCAGATTATTCAGGTCTTGATGCAGCAAAACACAACAGGCCACAATATAAAACACTTTTTTCACACATGAGCATTAAATAATTTTCATTTCATTATATATATATGATATTTGGAGGGCATTCGCCTCCATCCAAATCAGTGACACTGTGATCTGAATAATGAACTGAAGTACTGCATATTTGTGCACATCATCTTCCTCATACAGACACACTCTTCCCTGTTTGTTCACACCAACATGTCACCGAAGAAGAAAAAAGACTTGCATGATAGATTTTCCAAATGTCTGACGAACTCCTCCTCTTGCTAATTGAATACTAAGGCATGCAGAGTGGTGTTGGTTTGAAGGAGACTGGCAGAGCTTTTCATTGGAGAGCTGGCAGCTTATCCAAAGCACAACAAATGTGTCAATGCTTGGAAAAGTTGACTGTGATCAGAGGCCCTAACATGAGCACACAGAGATAAACCCTCTGCTGAGGATTCTCAGGTCAGACTGTTTGCTGACTGAGATTAATTCTGGCCACGCGTGACCTTTGTGCACACACAACGTCCTTCAAATAGCCAGAGCTCGACTTTTAAAGGGTCAACACATGAACAATAGCCATACATTGATTCCATATCAATCTTGTGTTCGGGTCTCCGACAGGTTTCTATTACAGGCTGCGTTGACTGATTTCGTATTTCATGCCTTGTGCATCTTTTATCTCACTTTATGAAAGAACTGTTTCTACATCCATACACTTTTTTATGGAAAAATAATACACACGTAAATTAATTCAATGTGTCTGAATGATCAATCTCAGAGGATTTGATCTTTAATTAGAAGATGCTGTTGAGCCAGTCCTTCCCTGAAACCTTGAGGCATTAAATGATGTGACTTAACTGCATAAACACTCTGTCTCTCCAACAGAAACAAGACAAAAGATCCATCCATCCACTGTCTTCCGGGGCTCGGGTCGCAGAGATGGGGTATCACAGACGTCCGTCCCTCTTGTGAGACCATATGTCTCACGTGACCATATGAATGTTGAGACGTAGATCGACCTGTTAATCGAAAGCTTTGCCTTGTAGCTCAGGTCCCTCTTCACCTCAAATGTCACCACAATGGTACCACTTCCGCATTACTGCTGACGCCGTCTCCATCTTTCCCTTACTCTTGAACAAGACCCAGAGAAACTGAAACGCCTTCACTTGGTGCAGCACACAACCCAAAGCAAGCAATCATATCAACGCCACCATTTAGATATATTGTGTGAGGTCTTTGTTCCAAATGGTGCATTTCGATGATGGGAGCAGATCCATGCTGTTGTTATTGGTATGATGAGATAACTATTATCACAAATGTCCGATGAAATAATCCCGAGAGACACACTGGAGGACAGAGCTCAGGATCCACTTTATAATAGAAAAACAGATTTATGGCACATGAATCAACCAATTTGTCAATTTTCAAGAGCAAAATAATGTGTGTTGAAATGGGAGTCATACCGTCTCCGTCTATTTAGCTGACCTCACTGACCTTCTCAGATGTAGTGAAGTCGTTCTTCAGAAACGTACTCTCACACAGGTCAGGTTGTGTCATGTCCACAGTGCTGGACTGGCTTATTAAAACATGTGAGACGTATTCCCTTACACCCGTGGCACGGAGGTCAGCATCGGCATGCAATATGCAGGAATTTATGGTTACACTGACATTAACTCATTCTGCAGAAATGGCAAACCAGGCACAATAAATTAATTTCGAATCCTTACAAATGGACACACACACAAATGCCAGTGACACAGCCCACAATGAAATGAATTTCATGTGTCATCTTTAGCTCTTTTAGCTTCACCACTTCACACCTATTGCAGACAACGAGAATGGTGGCTCGCGGCACAGAAAGGACACAAGGGAGATGCACCCTTCTAGACTGCAATTCTTCAGCCTAAGTAGGTCTGAGAAATCTTCATCTACATGCATGTGATGTCTTGCATAACAACCCAGTGAAAGATGCTCTCATCCTCCCCAAGCACACAGGCCCTTGGATCCAGAGCCACAGAGGCAGCAGCTGTAGAGGATGTGATTATTCTAAAGTTTTGTTGCTGTGCGCATGTACAGTTTTAAGCATGAGCTTCTCATCTCAACAAAAGAACTAAATAAGGTGTAGATCTGGAGTTTGCTTTCAGCCAGATTAGACACCCCAGCTAAACTGTGTCTAAGAACCGTGGTGGTCCTGAGACGTTCGAACCGCTGGTGTGTGTGTGTATGTGTGAGAAAGAGAGACAGCCGAGGGACAGAAGAGGACGAGTGACTTTTTAAAATTAATAAATAGAATAAATGTGATTTCAAAACCGGCATTTCATCAAAGAACAGTCATATAATTTTGTTTATAGCTGTGCGGAATCACTTTAAATTAATGGAGAAACAGCTATTGGTGTATTGTTGCATTAAAGCATAAACAAACCACAGCGTGATACTTTTCTCTGCAGCTGGAACTTGCATATTTTGATTTATCGCCAGCTATTAGAGATCCAAATCTGTCGCTTTCAAAGCTAACTCAACACAAATTGCATCTCCTTCATTTCCACAGCGCAAAACAAGTTTCCTGTATTGTTACGAGCTCCTGCACAGCACAGCGGCGTCCTGTGCAGTGGACGATAATGCAGATAATGACATCTGTACAAACCCACACCAACCTTCAGTGTCGCCACTCAGGCTTCTTCATTGGGAGCATATGGATCAAATAACTCACATTAACAGTGAAAACAAGCCGACATGTGTCAGTTTAAATGACACTCATAATTTGTTTGACTTTATGCAAAAAAAAAAAAAAAAAGACAAATTACTGCCACATATCTAGTTCCGGCATCTGTGTCACCGTGAATCTGCCAAAATGCTCAGTCTGGCCTGCAGATCAAGGCCACTCTCTCTCATCCAGCTGGGACCAGGATCCTTCTCCAGTCACCGGTATATACAGCCGACCACCGATAAGGTTCATGTTTGAATTTCCTCCTGTTCTCTGGTGCATTCTGGGTCTCTGAACTAACAAGCATTTCCGGAGTCCGACTTTTTTACTTCATGGTAGATCTGAGAGTTTGTTTTCTCATTGGTTTCGTTGACTGATTGCTTGTGGCCCCTGTGTTCTGTCTGTCTCTGCTCCGGACTAAATGAATAACACAATAATAAATACACTCTAATGATCCAATTATGCATCTCAAATTCTAATTGGAAATTACATTAGTCGCACAGCGTGAGATTTATAACGGAGGACTTGTCTACACGCCACATGAGGGACATTTTCATATCATCTGAAAAGACTGTGCATCTTTTTCTCCTGGATTGTAGATATGAGCTCAGTGGGAAGCAGGTTTTGTTATATTATAGAGGTAAGACATTTATTTTCAGACATCGGGGGGTGATGCCACATTAAATGATGTTTTTTTTTTACTTTGGTAGAGGAGATGGAATCAATTTGAGTTATGGTTCAAAGTTAGACGAGAAGAAAGGGACCCGTGAACTCACTTCGATGTGCAGATTTCCTCTTTCATCACAACCACATGAAGATACTTCCCTCACTCAGCCTTTTGCAAGTATCAGGAATTCATGTCGACAATATTAACAAGCTCTTAAATCCATCTCACTAACTTGCAACTAAATCAAACACCGTGATTGTTGTTTCACAGGAAGTGGCTCCTGAAGCACAGTGCAGCAATGAAAAAAGGTAGACAGCAGGAAGCACTTGCCTCTCTCCACCAGAGGCAGGAAACATCTGTTACTAAAGATACTGACAGATGCCTGTTGTGTTACATTATGTGCAGGTTATTTGCAAACCCATAATATCCCTGAGGCAGTGAGCGAGAACATAGCATGGTATAGACTCTATTCACATGTTTTTATTGACACGTGTCTATAGAATAAGCTGGAGGAGCGATGTTTCCCCCTTCTCTGACTTACATTATTCACGCTCACCAAGAAAAGAAAAGACAATGAAGGGCAAGTAAATTAGGGTCTGATCAAGAAACAAGATATAACGAATTTTGTTATGATGTTATTACCTTCGCAAAGGAGGTTATGTCTTAGTCTGCGTTTTTTTATTTGTCTGTTGGTTAGCAAGCATTACAAAGAAACTGCTTGACATATTCCAAGGAAACTTGGTGAAAAGAAGTGGTAAAGTTTAGGGAAGAACCCATTACGATTTAGTGCAGATCAGAATCAGGGGGCAGATCCAGGATTGTATTTTCACTTTCTTTCACATTGCAAGAAGAAGTAGAGTGTTTTTTGACATTTTCATTGATTACTCACAATACAAGAATGACATTCAAAGAGTGCGTACCTCTTCCAAGGCCCAACAGTCCCCTCATGAAACCACATTTAAATTCACTTCCCTAAATATGCCTAATTTTATTTCATCAAGATCCATGAATCCATGGAATAAAACTGCCCTATCTCGTTATTACAAAGAAAGTTTATAAAGGACTGGATCCGTCCCCTGATCCAGATCTGCAACAAAATTTAAACGTAATCATTCACCAAGTTTGGTGGTAATCCATCCAGAAGTTTCGGCATAATCTAGAAAACTAACAGACAAAAACATAACTTCCTTGGCAGAGGAGGGACTGTTGGACCTTGGTAGATGTATGTGCTCTTCTGCCTTTCTAGTTTGTTATTAAATATTTCCCCTCAATATTGGCATTATTATCTATAATAATAAAACATAGCGTTTTAGTTTATTATTGTTCACTTCCACTTGCCACCTTCGGACGTCTCCAAACATGATAAACTGATGAGTCTCATCATCCACAGTAATGATTCCCAGACCTTCTGTCACTTAGTGAAATATTACTGAATCTGTACCTTCCTTGTTGCCCTGCATCATTAGTATCGCTGGCAGATTTTCAAAAAAAAAGAAAAAAGACTCTATAAGAAAAGAACGGTATTACAGCCAATCGCTGCGTGCACACTGATTAAAATATGTGAGGCTTCAGTTCTGTAATAATATCTCAAGACGCTGCAGTTGAGCCGAGAACCGAGACTCCGACGGCACATTTAGAGTCAAAATAAGGATCAAATGCAGCACATAAAAGCCCCCGCTGATGTGGAAAGAACAAGAGAGCCAGCTGACACTTATGATTGGTGTGGATCACACTGTGCGAACAATGGCACAAATGGGATGCTGATTCCTGAGAATATGCACATCCGGTGTGGATTTACAGCTAAAAGGTAAAAAGCCTGTTAAAAGATCCAGTATGTGCTCTGGATGAATGCAAAGTGGTACAGCAGGGGCCATGACTTCATTTTTCATGCAAATTACTGCACCAACAGGTCATGACTCACAGGTTAATGTCAGTGCCAACATTTTCTCTATCCGTGGTTTTCACTTTACTTATGTCGTAGTAAATCTACACTAGCTCACTGCCTGTAAACAAGGAGGGAAATCTGAAAGCTAACAACTGCTTTACTTGTTTTTTGGCAGACAGTGCGAACTAATTTGTATTTTGATGGGATATTAACTGCAGACGCAGTATTGCCATCCTCTTGGCCCAGTGAGCAGATATGCTCGTAAGAACATCAGCTTGGGATAGGAAGATGCATGAAGTCCATAAAGTAGACTCAAGCAGCACAATTCCTCGATTAGGCTTGTCGTATTTGCAAAGCTTGATTAATATTTACAGCTTGGACTCAGCGAGAGTACACAACATGCACATTAATTATTGCTAAGTTCTCTAGGCTATAAGTTGCTGGAGTCTTGCAACTTGTTCCATACTGCACTTTAATTGCTGAATACATTAGTTTTCATTTGTAAGTAAGGGCCCGTATTGTACAGCAGCAGTTGTAATGCAGAGAAAAACTTCACTCTTATATCTTAAGTACACGTAAACAAACCCTGGATACTCTTCAGAGCACTGGAAACCAAGAGTCTGTTTTCTTTGTGTAAATAAGGTGGGTGGAGGAATGATCACACCAGCGGTGAAGACTGATGTTCATATGTGACAGGGGAATTCAAAATTAGATGGAATGAACAAGGTAAAGTAATAAACTTACTGGAACTAGGAATTTTTTTATCTCCTCCAAGGCGTGACTCATGCGGGAATAGGCCTCTCCAGGTGGAGCGAAGACTTCAATTAGAACATGCAGATCATTACTCAGATGGGCGTATTTGGCCTCCCCACTTTTCCTCAGTTCTTCCTCCTAAGAAAAAAAAAGAGAGGAAGGGAAGGAGTTGTAAGAGAATCCAAAATTCATATGAAAAGCATAGTCTGATGTAATGTTCGCTGTTGTTCCCCAAAGACAAAGGAAAGTCCATGTTCTGTAATGTTAGACCGTCTGCCAAGGAGGGAATGTTTTCCTTTTGTTTGTATATCAATTAGCACCATTACGCAAAAACTACAAAACAGATTACCACAAGACTTGATGGGAGGATACTGCACGAGTCAGGGAAGAAGCCTTTACATTTTGCCAAGATTTTCTTTTTTTCAACATTTGTTTTGATTTCTCAGAATAATTCCTGACTCGACGACTCGAATAAAAATCCAGATCTAGAGAATTGAAATGTTGTTTCATAAGTGGACTGTTGGACCTTGGCAGAGGTATTCAATCTATAGCTAAGTCAGGGTTCACAGAACACAGTATAGGATTCACCCCACATGGACCAAGCATATCTGCACAAAATTCCATTGCAATCCATCCACTCGTTGGGTCTGGACCAAAGTGGGAGACTGACTGACCCCCTGCCGCCATGCTGCTGGTTTGATTTATCTCGTCAGATGAAGGAACTCTGCTCTGAAGTTATTTTGTCAGATTGAAGAGGTTTCGATGTGACTGACACACAACTACATCTTTTTTTCCCTCCTCTCATCACAGGTAAAGTATTTGAAATGCTGGGTACAAATTCAGCTTAAAGACAAAAGGACACTTGAGCAATTGCTATTTATCAGCAGGAAGACACATTCCAAAACATTTATGAATGATGTGACGACTAACTTGCATCAAGTAATAAATTACCTTCTACAGAATAATTACAGCTCATCCGACAACTGTAGAAAAATATAAGGAGCTCTGTCACAGAGTCTGGCACTGGGGAATGTGCTGATAGAAAACACATTTTGTGATATGTGATCTTGTGAATCTGTGGAGAATCTGTCGGCGTCGCTCTTAAACAGCACCCAGAAATGTTTGATTTGACAGACATCCTGTGACACAGACATCACATTTAGTTCAAGTCATTTAAGACCACTGGTGCAAAATGGATGTAGGTTATGAACGGTTATACAACGTTATGCAATGTTATGATTATGAAAGCTTGTGAAAATGTGATTATGATTCGTTAAGAAAGGTAATGGCATGTTGTGACAGGTTAATTGGGACTGAAGAGAGGGAGGAGTTCCTTCTTACATATCTTGTTTTCATTACTTGTAACTACTATTATAACTTGGTGTAACTTAGTGAGGTTTTCCCTCGATTGAATTACAAATTTGATCATAATCAAATCAACATTTCCACTTGTTATAACAGGAAAAGCACAGGTGCACTCAACCCTTCTGAGGCCAACTCTCCACCGAGGTGCTCACTGGGACAGTTGAGTAGACATTAGAACAGCATTAATGAAGGTTCATTAATGCTGTTACACACATGCTATTCAAACTGATTGAAAAACCTGTAGGTAATGTCCAGTGGTGCAAACTCCATCCGCTAAAGACACTGTGGTAAATAAATAAGTCAGAAAAGAACAGAGTCACCTTTTAGTCTTTACCCAGGCCCTGAGGGCTCCGACCTGATGCTTCACACTGGCTTTAAAAGATCTGTCAAATAGCTCAGGGACAGTTTTCACTGTGTTTTCAAAGGAGCCAGTCAAATCACAATATCCATTCTCCACTGAACAAGTAATCAGAGGTGATGTCAGACTTGGAGTGGAGACGTTCCCTCTACTTGTACCAGCCACAACTGCATCTGCTGCAGTCTGAACAATGTGGGAACATTCACTGCATCAAAAAATAAAGACACTTAAGAAGTTGGGCGATGAGCGTCTTGCTTAAGGACACCTTGATTCAGAGACTCATGCACTCAGCCAAGCTGGGGATTCAATCGTCTGTCCTTGCATCACAGGGCTGTTCTCTTTCCTCTGGGAAAAGTCTGCTTTAATTAAAAATTACCAGAAAATTTCAGCATGTTTCACATTCACTATCGAAGAGCCTGCATCATTTCAGATCAGATCAAAATCTCTGAGTAGTTTCAATACTTTGTCATTCAAATGTTTGAAAGATTGTTTTACAGTAGAAAGAGAGAGCCATACATCAGTCACCATGGTTACAGTATGCCCGTGTGTTTAGTCAATCAATATTATATGTTTGCAGTGCACTGCTGTAAGGACGATAGGAAATCAGAAATAAAAATTCTCTCCAGCCTTGCAGTGCTGGCTTTGACTTGTGCAAAGTCTAGCATCAGAGGTGAAATGAGGACTGTGTTTTAGTACCATGACTCAGCACAGAGTTAAACAGGATAATACCTGCGCTCAAGGTGTAATGTTCACCATATGGTCTATTGTGAGTGGGTGGGCTGCTCTGGTAAAAACCAGAGCTATTTCACCCCCAGCTGCTGCTCCGATGCACCCCTGTGAGAAACTGGATGTCTGGGGTGGCAGAAATGCGTGATGTCAATGTGCTTTCACGTGTAATGGGACTTGAGCTATCTCTGTGCCACACTGCCGTGTGACCAGCCGCTCTGAATGGCAGCCAGCCCTTCATTCACAACATTCAGGCTCGGGGTTGTCGGTCCTTCAGACTAGTTCAGAGTCAGACTGTACACAAAATCAATATCACAGGCTGAAAACACTGAGCCTAATCCAATCGTTACACAGACACCCTTTGGTGAGAGACAACCGCTAAGGGTCCATTATTTTTCCTCAGTGCTGCACACAGCATGTGTCTCCGTCAGACTGAAACTGACATGCTGTCATCATGCACGCTGTGCGGAGCAGGATCACAAACTAAGTACTGCATGCAGGTAAAAATACTGACGTGTTTCTGACACTTTGGTTCGTATGAACATTATTAAAACCCCATTACTTTATTCTTTAATTTTAAAAACTGAAGACAAATTAATGGTCTTAGTGGCAGCAGGCCAGATTTTTAAATGAACTCTTGCATGACTCAGGCACAAGTAAAGAAGTGTTTCAGTGCTTTCAGACGCTGCCCATGATGAAGAGTTTCAGCTTCGCAATTAGGCCTGAATGGAAATCCATGTAAAAGGTTCTTCAAAAAATTCTCATTAAAAAAATGGATTATATACATGCATGCACATACTGTATGTATGAACAGTATATATATATATATATATATATATATATATATATATATATATATATATGCGAGTGTGTGTTTAATTTTTGTATAATTTACTTGACTGTACCTTTTACAATTAAATATGCATATATGTATGCCTGTATGTAGGCAAGGCTTTTATATATATATAAATGGGGTGAGAGTCTTCTTACAACTGACACCATGTGCCGTGTCAGTTAACATACACAACTAAAACCACAGTGATATGTTTAAAGTGGTTGTAACAGCTTCCGCAGTATTATCCCCTCAACATGGTTTCCAACGTATTGAAATGCAGCTTCAGTTTCACCAAAGTGGGGTCAAGACTGCAAGTCTTTTTATCATGTCTTGATGTCTGAATAGGAGGTTACAGCGATAATAGCAATGTAACTCTATAGCAGCAAATGAGACCTGTTATGAGCATGAATAGCACATCCAGCAGTCTGCGAACACGCTCGGGTAAGTTTGGCTCCAAGGGACTACAAGTCATCAGGATAAATGACTTTCGCAAAGAGATTAAGGACTTTGCATTTATAACTGACTATTATACAATATCTTAATAAACAATATAAAGGAAAATTCATTCAGATTCATCTCAAACATATGCTTGTCAAGTGAAAGCTATTCATTTTACTCTGGGTGCCATTCATCTCAGTTACACTCAGATGTTGTTTGTAGGAACATTCCTCTGTGCATCGGTGGAATTTCAACCGCTCTGTTTCTGTAAACATTTTTTATTTGATTTAAATATTCGACCAGTCAAACAACTATACATCAACGCAAATCAATATCTGCCTTACCTTGCCTTTATCCCTCATGGACCCTTTGCCGAGGATGGACATCTTCACCCCAGTCTCCTCCTGCAATCGCTTCATGGAATTTCCCCGTGGTCCCAGCAGCTTCCCAACAAAATTAAACTGTGACAAAGGATAGAAAAAAGAAGAGTCCTTATCAATGCTTGTAAAAGGATGGAGGAGAAACAATGAAAAGGCTGATTTATATGTCCGAGTATTTTTGAAGCAGCCTCTCTCTTAATGTCTTGGATATAAAAAGAAAGGTTAAACATAAGATATGCTGTGCTGACCATTAGTCATCTATTATCAATATAATCTCACATTCCATTCACCATTCATCATGGGTGCTGTAATGCGGCCTGTAATAAATCAGTAGAATTGTGCTCTGTATGTACATGCACATTAAAAGTAAATGGGACTCTTATTTGAGGTCTGGCAAAAACACATACATCCATCCTTCTGCATGAACTGTGCCCTCACTAGTCATGCCTCTTATCAGCATTTAGGGTCATGCATGTCCTGCCAAGGGAAAAAAAAATGTAAAGGAAACATTGGCTCAAACCAATAACATTCCTAAAACTGTTTAAGAGGTCAGTGCTGAGATAAAGTCAGAAATAATGAGTTCCTTCCCAGTGGGAAATTAAGTAATACTATCCAAATGACAAACTATCAGATTCAAGCCTCGGGGCTCTGACTATCATTTCCCTCTCACTGTGCACAGGCTAGTGTTCATATTGAGATGAGTAGCTCCAGGTTGTTTCAGGCGCAACGCTGCTGAGATTAGTGCCGATTAATCTGGGAGGTGAAAGTCATAACGCAATTGTAGTCAAACGGAGCATTTTTCAAGAAAATATGAGCAAGTGATCACTGAGGAGATGAGAAAAAGAGACTTAGGGCCTTAAAGACAAATGCAAAGAACAATGCTTTAGTCTCAGCTAGTTTCAGACCAACACTGTTGTCAGCACCCTTTTGTGTGGTTTTTTATAAGATTCAACATTTTCACAGATTTCACAGGAAATCATTTGTAAATCTCGATGAAATATTTTTAGGCATATTTAAAGGACTTATATCTATGAGTGCGTGCAGTTTGGGGGGGGGGTTCCTTGAATTTAAGGGGACTGTTTGGCCTTGGCGACGGTATGTACTCGACTAAGTGCCATTCTAATTTAAATAGCAGATGCACTTGTGCCCCTCTGTGTTCCCATGTGCGTGTTGGCCTTAAATGTTCATTTCGGTGCATTACCATCTTGAGGCAAACAAAAGCTGTTGTGCAATTGACCAACACAAACCAATGGGTGTATTATGTTTAAGGGTGAATTTTCTAAATAGAAATGTGCACATACACAACACTGAGACTCTCTGCTACTTGCACACACAGGTGCTCTGCTTTCACAAAGACAAGTGTCTGAACACCATTATAATAGTTATTCACCAAAATAGGAAGTGTACCTGGCTTTTAAGGGGAATGGGAAATGGCAATATAGTGGATATTGGTTGGATACATGTTATGCCCCCAAACTCATGATTCATTAAGAAACTTTACAACCCCTTTAAACTGTATACTGGATGTTGCAACCTTTTTTTTCCACCATTAAAAATAACCTGAATACTTAAATCCTCCAAATAGAATACTTAATCTTTCCTATTAGAAACAAACCCATAAAAGTCATGCATAAAGAACATCTCACAGAGTTTCACTTCTTGTTTTATATTAATAGAGGGTTTGACCTTCAAGTGTTGGATGAGATGATAGGGGACCACCTCCAGGGCTGAACAGGTGGTCAGCCAACCACCACAACACACTCTGGCCATCCCTAAAATGATATTAACCTTTCCACAAAACAGCCTCTCCCACTGTGGCTAAGCAGCTAATAACTTCTCTGCCAGCTGTGCGTCTGCTGCAACTCAACACCGACAAACGCACACTCAGCTTATTACGGAACATGATTAAAATCAGGAGTGAATGTTCCATCTTAGGTGAGGGAGGCGCCAAGGACACCAAGATGACACCATCAAAACACAAAAACAACGACGCTTCCCAACTGTCCTCACTCTGTCCTCTGATCTGAATGATTAAGGCACCTTTTGTGGACACCTTCCGTGGATTGCGTTGACAGGACTGTCCTATAGCCGGCAGCAGGGAGCTTCAGAGCAGATGGTGGCTGCAGCTATGTCGAGAACACACTCGGTGGGCGGTAGAAGAAGAGTGGCCTGTTTTCATTTAGCTAATGAATGTCTGGAGCCACTCTACTGCTCCATGGCGAGCAATTTGGGCTTCGGAAAGGGGCACGATTCGGTGTTAAATGAGGTCTGAAATGATGTTATGTGCCCCCCATAGCCTCAACACTGATAAGTATGCAGATATTAGGAGGAGGGGTGTTGTGAATGCAACAATTATGCACAACACATTTAAGACACTGAACAAATATTCAGTGCGTGAACTGATCCTCTTATTTGTATTTTACAACGTGTGAAGGACAAACAATAAAAGATTTTGTGCAGATTAAATCGAACATATTCATCTGCATATTAATTGTTAAACATCAAATTTATGAAGCTCTCACAAAGAAAAACACGTATGTTTGAGGACTTAGAGCACAGGGGTCACCTGGTTTTGGCATTCAGTGCTATATTATCCCAAACAGTTCTCCATTTTGAGTGGTGAGTCACTATGTAACAGAAGGTCAGTGAGTTCCATCATTTCTAATCTTCAGCAAATCAAGTGTTGTATTTTATCTCTTGATTTCATCAGAACAGAGACAAGACCAATCAATGTATGTGGGAATGCTCACTTCTTATTGGCTGACTGGTCTCTGTCAATTCTTCATTTGATGGATTCACTGTATCAAACACTAGCCATCAGCCAGAGACAGGTCAAATGGATTAATCTCCAGGTGACAATATTTTCTCATGTTTTACTGCATGTTCAACTGAGGTGGGACTTCTTGTATCAAATCTGTTCATTAGCAATGATTTTGCATCCAAGTTTGTCCAAGTTCACTTTGAGTTGTTGGTTGTTTTCAACTCGCATTCGTAAAAATTGTCATTGTATTAGTGGTTTATAGGATTTTCCATCATGTTAGTAATAATGGTGGTGTGGGTATATGATATGATGCTCATTTGGTTAAAAGAAAAACCAAATGACACTTTCTTCCATTTCAGATGTGTAGCCCACACATATATGAAGAGCCTCATTCTTCACACGGAGATATGAAAGAATGTTTTTGTAGGTTTTTTTAGGCACTTTCACCAATTTGACAACACAAATCCAACATCCCGAAGCAGTGAAAATACAGAAATTCCCTGCAAATACAGAAAAGAGGTCAGAAGCTTTTCCTTTAAAATTGTCTTTGTAACTTCTCTGTTTTGTTTTGAACAACAGCATTTTTGTATTTGCAGCATATTTCTTTGTGTTGCAAATGTGCTGTCAAACCGGTCAATGTGCTCCTCAATCTTTTTTGATTTGTCAATTTGTATGTATTTACTTTTCCATTTTCTTGTTAAAGAAACTCCAATCCTCCATACATCAAAGTCTGTTTACAGGTCTTAGGGAGTAGCGCACTCCTGCATATATGAATAACAGGTTGTATAAAAGCCTTTTGTGGCTTCACAGGGATCTGTGTGTTATCTGATAAATGGCCTCAAGTGATGACACTTGTGTCAGTGTCGGTTGGCTCCACATCAAGAATCTTGAGGTGTGGGTTTAGAGGGAAGAAAGTTTACCAGACTTCTGCTGGCTGCTCATTTCTGCGAGCAGCTAACACCTCAATCCCTGACTGAACTGTAAATGTTTGCGATGCATTTTGGGTAATGTAAGGGGACTCTGTGGAATAAAAAGACTATCTTTGGATCTGCTGCATTGATTTGATTTGATTTGTCCACCAGTGTCATTTGAGTGCAAAGCTGAATCAGTGTAGAGTACTTTAAAACTGCACCACTCTGAGCTTTATCATAGCCCCTACAGACAGGCCCTGCTTTGAGGACTTGAAACATAGGGCACTTGATGAATGGCACAGTTAGGCCATTCTTCTCTCTGCAAAATGCTCACATTTATTGGGCTGACTATAGGAACTGACTGTTGGTCCAGTCACACATCAAAGAGCTTGATTGACAGCCAGTGTCAAGGAGGGCAACAAAAAAAAAGAGAGAAACGTGGGTAAGAAAGGATGATAACAAGGGTTTTGCATGAATAAGAATACAGGTGTGCCTTGAGATTTTGGCCTGCCCTGCGGTGTGCCTTGGGCAGAAAAAGTTTAATGTCAACTGGCCACATTCGTGAATCAAATCTCAATGCATCCTCCATGTGTCTTCGGAAAATTCACCTTTGGAGATCTGTCCTCCTCTGACCATCCAAGATGCATGTTTATTCCAGGTATTAACAATAACAGTGACTTTCTTTGAGGAAGCAACGGCTGTGCTCGAGGATTAACACACTAGCTTCACTAAAAGCAAAGACGTGATAGAAGTAGAAGTGCATGTGGCTTTTCACTGCCAGAGACAGCTCTTCAACAAAGTTTGATGTTAGACTCACACTGATTGGTACATCGACAGACATTAGATGAGACAAGAGCGAGAAAACATCAAAGATGAAAGGATGCGCTCACATAAATAAAAACTAAGGCGAACTCGGAATGATTCTATATGTTTTTAGTTCTCAGGATGTAAAATGTGAACGGTGGCCGCTTTAATGCAGTGCACTGAGGCCAGTCGAGATTTGCACATGTCCTGAGGCCCTTATTGCCGGGTTAGCGAGCTGTGCTATTGGGAAAGTCCAGGTTCTGTATGATAGGAGGATTAAAGCCTCAGGTAGTGGTTTATGCTCTAATGACAACTAGGGATGACTGGGCTGAGGGTCTGTCAGAGGAGTGTGTCCGGTGGACTCGGCAGACATTAAAGAAAGCGGATGAGTGGTTGTTTGGTGCTTGTCTGACAACCGGTGGAGATTTGCTGTTTGTCTGCTGAGCTTTTCAGAAAGGAAACCAAATCAACTGAGCGTTTAAAGAGAGGCTGTGTGTCTGTGTTAATGTTAATCACTGGTATCTAATATTGTGGTATCAATTTAAATGTTAAAAAAATCAAGAAGACATCAGATATAAGAAGTCACTTCTGGATTGGGACAAACC